GGCCTGTACCCCAGTCCTGTATAAATAAATAAATCTTTTAAAAAAAAACTTCATGTAAATCTATAATTATCCCAGAAAGTTTAATTTTTTTAATATTTCCAATCAGTTAATGGGTAGATGGGAATTCTATTATTTTCTACCTACCCCAAAGTGAATTACTTTAGACATTCCTAATTTAAGAGGCCACTGGCATATGCTGCCAATCCCTACAGCCCCTTTATTCTTTGGGTCCCTTTAGCTCTTCTCTACATTCTCTTACCTCTCCTCATGCAAACTTGGTGATGTTACATCCCAAAGTTGTTAGCCTGATACATATAGTTCTTGAAAATCTAGTTTCAGGCACTTACCCAATAAAGGCACCTGTACACCAACTCCTTAATATTTCCAATTATGCATAACCTATTTTGATCAAGATACCCAAGAACAGGCACAGCAACTTATTTCTATTATGCTTATCTCTAATAAACTTATCCCTAATGTTTATCAAGTTTCCTAACATATTTGGGATGCCATAGATCTTGACCAAGATATCCACTGTAAATATGGATTACCTGCAATCACTCCTGCCAGGTACACCAGCCCCACTCGGAGACCTTTGTGGACCATTTCCAAGGGAATACCCAAAATGAGCTGCATAATAAGATTCCCCAAGATGTGCTGAACTCTGAAGAGAAAAAAAGCAGTTGTCAAATATTAACCAGATTATGGGCAATAATAAAGCACCAAACAAATATCAGGGTTACAATTACTTCTAGTCTCCCCAACATGGGTGACTTAACTGTCATTCCTTACCCAGCATGAACCAGCATGTATGAGATAAACCTCCAGGCTTCCTGCCTCTTCTGGGGATTGTAGGTGAAGGGGCTCTCCAAGATACCGGTGTCCAGCGTGATCCACTGCTTCTGAGGCTTCCAGACAGCATAGTAAATAAACACTGCCAACTGACAGAACAGGGCAGGCGTGAGTGTTGACCACACCTTCTCCAGAGAGTAGCCCCATTAACGCCCATGGACATGAACTTTGCTTCAAGTGGTTAGTGATCCAGGGGGCCACTCCACAGTACATGATCAGAAGATGCCAGGAACTAAATTTCCCTACTGCAAGAGACCACATAGCTCTGCTCCTAGCCTGCTTCCTCTCGTGTTTAGGAGAAGCTCTGGATCAAATGATAAAGAAGATTCTTGCTGAACTCCCTCTCCCCTCTTAAATACTCACTTCCCTCCACTTCTCCCCTCCATTTGGCCTTTCCTTTACTACTTTTATGAATTGAGTTTTCTTTGGCCTCCAAAGAAGAGAGTAAGGAATTTAAGGAATGGTAACTTCACAGTGGAGACACCTGGCAAACGTGCTTAACTAAGTCATAAAGGCTAATGTCACCAGGGATGTCGT